CGCGCCGCCTGCTACAATGCCCTCGGCAACTGGGACAAGGTCGTCGAAGACACGACTGCCGCCATCAACCTTGACCCCGAATACGTCAAGGCACTCAACCGCCGCGCTAACGCCTACGAGCACCTGAAGATGTACGGCGAGGCCCTCCTCGACTTCACTGCTTCTTGCATCATCGATAGCTTCAAGAACGAGAGCAGTGCCCAGTCAGTCGAGCGCCTGCTTAAGAAGTTCGCCGAGCAGAAGGCTCAGGAGATGATGGCCAGCCGGCCCAACAAGCTTCCTAGTCACACTTTTGTCGGCAACTACCTCCAGAGCTTCCGCGTCAAGCCTCGTCCGGCTGGACTCGAGGACTCTGTGGCCTTGTCCGAGGAGACTGGCAAGGGACAACTCCAAGTCGGCCTGAGTGCTCTGGAGAAGAAGACTGGCGACGGATACGAGGAGGCCAGAGCGGCCTTTGAGAAGGCGTTGGAGTTGGGCGACCTGGGCGAATTCGAGGCTCTTGCTTACAACCTGCGCGGTACCTTCAGCTGTCTGCTCGGAAAGCACGACGATGCCATGGTCGACCTGACCAAGAGTATCGAGCTCGACCCTTCCATGACCCAGAGCTACATCAAGCGCGCCAGCATGAACCTCGAGCTTGGTGCCCCGGAGAAGGCCGCTGAGGACTTCGAGAAGGCCATGGAGCAGAACACCGAAGACCCTGATATCTACTACCACCGCGCTCAGCTCCACTTCATCAAGGGCGAATTCTCCGACGCCGCCAAGGACTACCAGAAGTCCATCGACTTGGACCGCGACTTCATCTTCTCTCACATCCAGCTTGGCGTGACTCAGTACAAGATGGGATCTATTGCATCATCCATGTCGACCTTCCGCCGCTGCATCAAGAACTTCAAGGAGGTTCCCGATGTGTACAACTACTACGGCGAGCTACTTCTGGACCAGGGCAACTTCCAGGAGGCTATCGAGAAGTTCGACAGCGCCATCGAGATGGAGTCGAAGACGAAGCCCATGGCGATGAACGTCCTTCCTCTCATCAACAAGGCTCTGACCTTGTTCCAGTGGAAGCAAGACTTTGGTGAGGCCGAGAAGCTCTGCCAGAAGGCGCTCATTAGTAAGTTCAGACTCCTCCATTGTACGAAGTGCAATTGCTGACCCTTGATAGTCGACCCCGAATGCGATATCGCCGTTGCCACCATGGCCCAGCTCCTTTTGCAACAGGGCAAGGTCACCGAGGCGCTCAAGTACTTTGAGCGCGCTGCAGAGCTCGCTCGCACCGAGGGCGAGATCGTCAACGCCCTGTCCTATGCCGAGGCGACCCGCACGCAGCTCCAGGTCCAAGAGAAGTACCCCAAGCTGGCGGCAAAGCTTCAGGGCATCGGCCCGGGTGGCATGCCCCGGTAAAGGGCCAATGACGTCCTGAACACGAAACATGTAAAACTCACCCACGGCGGCGTGTAAGAAGAAAACAGCAGATCCCTTAGCAGATGGGGGAGCGGATAGCCAAGACAAAGGGCTCTTGGTTGATAATAGGGGAAAATATCAAGGCGGGCAAGCCGCCCACCTCGTTGAGTCGTTTTTTTATTGGTCGGTGAGGGAGGCTTTGGGAAAGGAGAGCAAAGTCCAAGGCTCCATACGTACGGCTGGGGAGGCATTGGTTGAAACCCTTACGTTGTACATAATCCGACTTCCCTCACTCTACGTACATTGGTGAGAGCATTGTAGAAGTAGTCCACTGTCAATCATCTTTTGCCATTTCCATATTCCTTCTTGCATATGAGTCCATCGTATGTTGCTTTGGTGTCTCTATAAGAGGAATACATGTTGCGGTGAAAGGACAGATTTGAAGCAGAAGAAGTCATACAACCACCCACGCAACATGATGCCCATCTTAGTTGCTCTTCAGGTTAACTGACGACCCCGCCCCAGGCATGCTATTCACACTCACAAAAACATACTTCGTGATCGAAAACCCACCAAAACAGCAAAAACCACAACACTTCCATAATCTTTACGACCCCCAGGGCCCAGGGGACCAAAAAGATGGACGATCTGGGAATCGAACCCAGGACCTACCGCATGCTAAGCGGTCATTATACCACTAAACCAATCGCCCAGTAGAATGATCTAGCCCGGACTTGAACCGGAGACCTTCAGTGTGGCAGACGATGGAGAGGCCGTGAGAGACTTCTTTTCGAGCTGTTAGACTGACGTGATAACCAACTACACCACCAGACCATGTTTTTGTTGAAGTCAGCGAGGGAAAAGGTGACTAGGTATGATTGGGGTGTGGGGGTGACCATACGGGTTGGCCAAATTGCGCGGGCGTTGCTGTGCGCTGCGTTGCGGTGTGGAATGTGAAGAAGTGGATGTGGTGGCATCGTGAGTGCAAATTTCGTTGGTGGGCGGGGCGGAAAGACCGGGGTGCGCCCGTATTCCCAAACCCCGACAGGTTCTGGACCGGCCGGGTTCTCGCGTGGCTGCCATGGTTCGAATCGGGGATGAGGTGATGATAGACAGGGCAGGCCGGGTGGGCCGGAGCGGAGGGAGAGAAAAACAAAAAAGCGGTTGAAGAATCTGAAGAGCGACTCGCCAAGGTCATGGGACATTTACAGGATGGGTCGGGAGCGGATCGATGCCATGCGAGTTCATAAAGTGTTCGCCATTGTGCGATACGTACAAGAGGGAAAAAGTGGTGGCCTCTCTCTCTTCCAGTCCACTCATGAAATCCAAAGGACTATGAAGTGGGAGGACAGACAGACGCAAAATAAATACAGATAAAAAGTCCACTCCATATCCCCCCCCCCCTTTCCGTCTGATTGTGTGAAGAGTACGCGTACAATAAGTCAATCGTTGGTGGGGAATCAAGAGCCCGCCGTGTCTCCTATACGCGGCAGATGAAATAGAAAAAAAGTCGTGGCGTCGTCGGAAAAGAGCTGGTTTTTGGGCTCGTGAGGCAGCGCGCGTGTGTGCTCCGCCATCTTTTGTATCGCCCTTAATTAGTACCGTCCATTCGTCCGTGCCATGGTCATGAAATCTAAACAATCGTAGTGCTGCTCTTTTAGAAGTGCTGTCCCGTTTCTAATCATATGAGGGAGGTGCCGCAGCTGCCTCCCCATCCCATTACTTTCTCCGAATCGTCGTCATAGTGCAATTGCGCACATGCGCGTCCGATTGTTGTGATCACACCCGTTAATTCTTCTTGGTGAGAGCAACGCCCAGACCGACACCCAGCGCGATAGCAAGGATGATGAGTACGACAACGAGGAGGCACCACCACTTGAGCTTCTTGCGTCTGCGCGCGTGGTCCGTCGCAACCTTGACTTCTTCGTTGCCCTTTTGGATGTTTTCGACAGTCTGTTCTGCGTTCTGCTCGGCGGCTTGGACGACGGGCTCCTGCTGCTCGACCAAAGTGGCCAATTCCTGGAAGAGTTGGCCGAGCTCCATCATAGTCTGCTCAATGCGCTGCAACTCGCTGTGGCGGGCTCTGACGTTGCCCAGAATAGTGTTGGCGTGGCCTGTCCGATTGGATTTGAGCTGGTTAAGTCATTAGCATACGGTGCCGACATGCCGAGAAAATCGGTCAAAATCAACATCAAAACATACCGCTGTTTGGAAAACACCTTCGTCACCCCAGTCCATCTGTGTCGCTTGCTCGACTTCATCTTCCGTCGCTTCCGGGTTGACGATGCGGTACTGGCGGGCAATTTGGTCGCGGTACCGTTTCTGGTAATCGCGCTCGATCTGCTGGTATTTTTCGAGTTCCGACTTGAAAGTGTTCTTCAAAGAGTTGAGCTGTGCGGTCTTGGTTGCGCGCGATCCGTCCTGTGTCTTGGATAGATCCCTCTCGAGGGCCTTGATGCCCTCCTTGACGCCGGTGTTGCGGATTTGCGTCGCGGAGACAGCCTGCTCAAGCTGAGCGCTGGTGCTGCCGTCGGGGGAACCGAGAGAGCGCTGGTGAAGCTGGGCAATGCCCTCAATATCGGAAGTCAGGCCATTGATTTCTGTGCGCAGTTGTTGGACCCGGGCGAGGAAATCTTGCTGGCTCAGAGTACGAGGCGCGGATTGCCCGGCATACTGGCCGGCCTCTCCGTACGGCTGCATCTCGTACTGGCCTTGGCCATATTGAGGCTATAATTCAAAGAAAGTCAGCGATATGGAGTTGAGAGGGCATGCGCGGACTGAATTGAAGGGCGACGGACCTGTTGGTTGTCATAGCCGTATCCGCCCTCGGCCTGGGGGCCCTGGGCGTAGGGATTTTGGTTATACTGTTGGTACGACATGTCTGACTCAAAGCGACTGTCAATGTCGACGATAGACAGTGCGATTCGAACCGCAATTTATTCGGCGAGCGAGCAGAATTGAATGAGAGAGTCCGGCGCTATATGGTGTGATTGAGCCGGCGGGCTCGTGAGATTGTTGTGGTGGTGCAAGGTGAAGGACCTTTCGGCTGATGTTTGGTTGTTAAATGACGTTGGACCTCCGACCGCTGACAGGAACTGGGAAGTGCTGGAGAGACGCTGAAATGACAATGAGGACGGGCCCAATCAGGCACCGGGACCTGTCAGAGCGGATACCCCGGGCTGTGTATATGGTTGGATGGAGTCGCTCGTGAACGGGGCGACAGTGGGCAGGATTGGCCGATCTGCTTTCCGGGGTCCCTTTTTTTTTTCTTCTCGTTCCCTTCTTCCTGTTAAATTCGGACCAAGAGGAAACAGATAAACAAGCTTTACGAAGGAAATTCCTTCTTTTAAAATGAACCCAGAGATGAGAAGGTACTTGAGGCTGTCCACCGCACCTTTCAGATCGTAGTCAGACTCGATACTTTACTCGATTCCCAAGACGTCGGCCGCGAACAGTGAAAGACTGGATGAAGCGAACACTAGGTCAGTGACATCAGAAGATGTTGCGCCGACGGGCGGGGCGAAGCTTATTATACCCGGGACGCATGTTATTCTCTGTAGCGGCAAGGTACCTTAGGGACGGACGGACGGACGGTCTCACCCACCCCCAGCGAGTCCCAAGGGTCTGTTTCCTTCTCTCACTAAAGGTGAGGTGGGCAACACACATACACACACACACACCTCACACAGGTTACTTTTTAGGTGCTCTGCTCTGTGTCTGCCCACCGCCGTCCGACGGGCCTTTGGTGCTGGCTGGAGGCTGGAGGCTGGAGGCTGGAGCTGCCCCTCGTTCTCTCCGGGGGTCCGGCCAGGCCTGTCCGTTCCCTTCTCATTCCCGTCCTTTCCCATCCTCGCTTGGCGAGCAACGCCCAGCCACCCCGCTGCGGAAAAAGTGACGATTGACAGCTGAGCAGCAGAATCGCAATGGAATGGGGAGCGTTGCTGCGTAGAACATGGGTTGCTGAGTGGCGGCGACGGCAACGGCAGATGTCAAATCATGTCTGCGCCCCCAAAAATAGACCTTCAGACTCGGAATGCGGCTACAGCACAGTTTGGTTGGTGATTTTGAACCAATTGGCTCTAAGCTGCATCGCATACTGGATCCTTTCAGGTCCTACCTACCTACCTGATGCCAAAGCCGAGAAACGGCAGGCAGAAGCTCAAAGTCCGCCGGCTTGTTCGCTGACCACACTGGTCCCTAGCCCAGGAAATCGTCACCATTTTGTGGCTGTGCGAACACTTGCACTTAAGACACCTCAACGTTAACGTCCTAAGCCACTCGTTCCTCTTGCCGCGTATTAGGAGACATCCTCGGGCAGTGCTCAGTGCTGTACTGCCTCTATGATTACCCACTTCGCCTTTTCCTTCTGGCCCTCTACTCCGTACACCATGCTTCTATCGCACAAGGCGATGAAGGCCACACCGACGATTAGTCAATGAGAGCCACTACGACCAAAGTGCCTCCCGCGGCTTCTGCGTACTTTCGGCCCGTATCCGTATTGCGCGTAGGTTCATGGCGGGGCCTCCATGACACCGAACTCTGTAAGCGACCATTGGGACCATCTGATGTATTCCGTCCCATGCTCAACCTTCGCTCACTGAGATCTTGGCGTTACCACGCGCCAAGGCTGGCTGCTGCTTACCGTTCATTGGCTCGTAATAGCTATTGCAAAGAAAGATGCCCGTCTCCATCTCGAGGCGTCACCTAACCTTGTTGAATGGCATTGCACCCTACGAGCCGCGGCGAACTCGGTGGTATTAGTTGTCAACTCAATTCGTGGTCATGAGCCGCACTCCTCCAGCTACGGACGTCGACATGCTTTGTCATGAGCAAATCAACGGTAAGAACTCAATTGCCTGACTCTCAACGGCCGGCCACACTAATCGCAACCAATCGGATGTAATACTTATTATTCAACAACATTTTGATGCTTTTTTGCCTGCCTTGACTTGTCTTCTCCTGAAGCTTGGGAAGTCTCTGTTTTCTACACTCCACCATCTTGCCGTTGTAAGCCGCCAAGAAACTACGGCGTTCTGGCTTGGATATCTTTAGTTCAACATCGTTCTTCATCTTCCACTTCGTGTAGTCCCATGAGTGCCTTTGCCACGACTCTCTTCGTCTCACGTCCATCGACGTCGCTTGACCGGCGCCTGGGTATTGTGGCTTCATTGAAACCCGCGTCCTCGTTACCTACGGCTCCGTTTCGTGGCGCACTGGTTGACAAGTCCTGTTCGTCGTTGCGGTATTTCGCCCACGCAACGAGCCGATCTTCTGGGCGCTGATCGTAATGTACTTGCCCCATGATCTCTCACGGCAGCGACGCCTAAGCCTTCGACCGCATCTGTCATGTCGGTTCTCTCCGGTGGCCCTCTCTCACAGGTACTCCTTCTTTCTACCAGTACGAGTGTACTGTGTAAGGTGCCACTCAACATCGCCATCCTTGTTTTCCAAGGTTCCACCGCGAATCTCGAAGGGGCGCATCGTCATCCGAGGTCCAACCTCAGCGAGCTCGACAGAATCGTACGAAGTCCGGACAAAAACGTGACTACCAAGGGGTTAGCAAAGGTCTGGCGGGGATCGGAGCTTCGGATGAGCTTACTGTCTGACTTCAATGGAGTCCTCATTGTTCACAAATGTCACTACCCTTGACCCTACCTTAGCCTTGGTGGTCGGGGGATCGAGCGGAGGGAAAAGATGTTTCAGGATCTTCACGATCCGCTGTCCAAGCCGGCTGAAGAGTTGATTGATGATTAGTGACCGTCGAACGACCTCCGAAGCCGATATCTCATACCTCTTAAAACCCTCAAATATTAACCGTGGGAAAGCCTCTGAGACGGATCCTCTGATACTTCCGGGTATATCTGCTCTGAGTACAACGTTGTGGAGCGACATGGATAGCGTAGGGCCGTGGGGAAGATGAGAAATGCTGTTAGAGAGGTTCGTCAGCTGGTGGCTCTTCTTGGATTCAATATAAAGTGCGTACGTCATGGCAGTCGGTACACCGCGATGTTCGTGAAGGAGGACAATGTCTGTGAGCCCGTTGGACTTGCTAGACTGCACAATGTCCGGAAGAATCAAATTTCCACGATTGAGCCGAACGGATGTAGGGAAGAGCAATCTGATCTCTTTGGAGAAGGCTGAAAGCCTTGAGGACGGGTCTCTTGAAGTCTGAAAGGGTGAGCTTCTACTTATGTGCCTGGATTGGAAGAGCAGAATAAACTAACTGTAACCAAAAGCCGTGGCTCCGAGATTCCCGACAGCTGGGAGTATTCGTCGTCGAGATCCATCTCTTCATCGACTGTTCGATCGGGTCGCGACTCGTCATATTGGTAGTCTTTCCGCAGCGCCTTGTTCTTTGCGATTTCGGGGTCGATGGGCTTGCCAGAAGCAAGAGCAGATCGTAGCTGGGCGCGCTTCTCGGTCGTCTCCGCCTCTTTCAATATAAGCGCCTTGCGATAGAGGTAGTCGCGCCGTTGTCGGGCCTGTTTCCGGATCATGTTGGGCTGTTGGTATGTGAGATGGTGGGATGTCAATGCTAGAGTTCCGCAATACATCCAACGTACCTTGGACAGGCTGATCGAGAAAAAAAACCTTATCAGGTGGCAGGTATCCACTTTCAAGCACCCCAATGTGACAGTCACGTGGTGATAAGCTACATCCCACCAAAACACCACCCTTTCGCCGCTGCTCTGTCGGACCTGGGATCTTTCTTGGGTGTTTGGATTCACCAACGAAAAGGCACGCAACCACTCCCGACAAGTCTCTGCCCCGTTGGTGTACCTTTGAGGTTTCCGCACGAATCCCCCAACTTCACATATCGATATGATGTGACCTTCCCCCTCCCCGATCCACCTCGAATCCCCCTTCCGTACGACCTGAGCCTACTGAGGCTCTGCGACGCCGAACCATTCGAGAACCATAAAGAAGCTGAAGTAAGTTGCGCATTCTCCATAACACCAAAACGATGCCCCCGACACCACCGCCGGCACATGCAAAGGCATTTCTACAGTTACATCGTATGCGACAGCCCACTGACACTCTTGGAAGGGAGATCAGCAGAGAGAAGTAGAAATCCGGAATACCGCGAATATGGAGAGCGCCTTCAAGAATCTCGGGAACCACCTAGTTTCCGACAGCGCCGCTGCGATCAAGGCAGGTGACGATGTCTTGACCGGTATCGATGCCGACGAGAGCCTTCTCTACGGCAAATTTGGCGGCCGCGACGGTCGCCGCCGTGCCGACGATGACGACAACCAAACCGAGCTTTACGATGATGACGATGTGGACAGCCTGACTAGCATGCCTGTTGGGGCTATGAAGGATCTCAGTATCGGAAGACCCAAGGAGGAAGATAGGAAGCTTCCCCCTCACGCTTGCGCGTATGGCATGCCTCCGAGCTTCCGAGCCCTCTCTTGAATCTAACACTGGCTTAGGTATTGTGGAATTCATTCCCCGAGCTCCGTCGTCAAGTGCCTTGGCTGCAACAAGTGGTTCTGCAGTGCCCGCGGAAATGCTACCTCAAGCCACATTGTTTCCCATCTGGTCCGGGCGAGACACAAGGAAGTCCAGCTTCACCCGGAATCTACCCTGGGTGATACCGTACTCGAGTGCTACAACTGTGGAACCAAGAACGTCTTTCTCTTGGGCTTCATTCCTGCCAAGTCGGATACCGTAGTCGTGCTGCTTTGTCGTCAGCCTTGTGCTGCAAACACCTCTTCCAAGGATATGAGCTGGGATACCTCTCGATGGCAGCCCCTGATTGAGGAGAGAGCTTTCCTGACCTGGCTCGTCGCGACGCCCTCCGATGCCGAGCAACTCCGCGCCAGACACCTCACCCCGCCGATGATTGCCAAGCTGGAGGAGATGTGGAAGGAAAATGCGACTGCTACGGTTGCCGACCTTGAGAAGGCTGCTAGCATCGACGACGACCCTCATCCCGTCCTCCTCAAGTACGACGACCCCTATCACTACCAGAACATTTTTGGCCCGCTCGTCAAGATGGAATCCGACTACGACAAGAAGCTCAAGGAAGCCCAGTCTGAGGATGGACTCACGGTCCGCTGGGATTACGGTCTGAACAACAAGCACCTGGTCAGCTTTGAACTGCACAAGATAGAGTCGGGTGACGTCAAGCTGGCCGTTGGCGACGAAATGCGACTACGTTACAAGGGCGAGCTCCGCCCTGCCTGGGAGGGAGTTGGCTATGTCATCAAGATCCCCAACAATCAGTCTGATGAAGTCACCCTCGAGCTGCGTAAGGCCGGCAACGAGAAGACTGTCCCGACTGAATGCACCCACAACTTCTCAGCAGACTATGTCTGGAAGGCTACCTCGTATGATCGCATGCAGTATGCCATGAAGACTTTCGCCGTGGACGACATGAGTGTCTCGGGTTACATTTTCCACAAGCTCCTGGGTCACGACGTCGCTGTTGCGCCGATGAAGACGACTATGCCTAAGAAGTACAGCGTCCCCGGCCTTCCCGACCTCAATACTAGCCAGATCGCAGCCATTAAGGCTGTGCTGTCGACCCCGCTCAGCTTGATTCAGGGACCTCCGGGCACTGGCAAGACTGTCACTTCGGCGACCATCATCTACCATCTGTGCAAGATGAATAATGGACAAGTCCTCGTGTGCGCGCCCTCCAACGTCGCTGTCGACCAGCTCTGTGAGCGCATCCACCGCACTGGCCTCAAGGTCGTTCGTCTTACAGCCAAGTCCCGAGAGGATGTAGAGTCCTCCGTGAGCTTCCTTGCTCTTCATGAGCAGGTTCGTATGAATGACAGCAATGGTGAGCTTGTCAAGCTTGCGCAGCTGAAGACCGAGCTTGGCGAACTGTCCAGCCAGG